CCAAAGTGCTGGAATTACAGGTGTGAGCCACCGCGCCCGGCCCTGGGGTCTCCTTTAGTTGGGTGGTCAGGAAACTCTGCGGGCCTCCTTAGGCCCTTTTCATGCCCTCTGTCTGCCACGGATGCCTCCCAGGCTCTGTGTCCACTGAAACCAGAGGGTTTGTATCTTCAACTACTGGAGGTGGAGATCTTTTTCTGATTCCAGAAAAGATCCTGATTCTCTTCGAGACTCAGTTTCCACCCCGGTCAGGGGAAGTTAACCATTCACATGCCACCAGGTGGGTGCCAGAGGCCTAGATCCGCTCTCTGAGGGTGGGGCACCCGGAGCCTTGATGGGAGGATCGCCAGGGACCGCCTCTGTTAGCGCGAGGCGCCCTCTGCTGGTCGGTCCCTGCCACGTCAGGCTCCCCAAAGAATCTCAGACGAACCCCTGCTTATCAGATTCCTCCATCCCTCCTCCAATGGTCTCCCTCCTCTCTCTCCTCCCTTCCTCTGCTCCAGCCACTCTGACCACCTCTGGCCGGGCGCCGTGGCTCTCGCCTGTAATCCCAGCACTTTGGGAGGCCGAGGACAGATCACTTGAGGTCAGGAGTTTGAGACAAACCTGGGCAACATAGCAAGATCCTGTCTCCACGAAAAAATTAAAAAAATTAGCCGGGCGTGGTGATCGTGGTCCTAGCTATTCAGGAGGCTGAGGTGGAAGGATCACCTGAGCCCAGGAGGTTGAAGATTACAGTCAGCCGTGATTGTGCCACTGCATTCCAGCCTGGGTGACAGAGTGAGACCCCACCCCAACCCCCCTCCCCCCCCAAAAAAAGGCCAGGCATGGTAGCTTACACCTGTAACCCCAGCACTTTGGGAAGCCAAGGCAGGAAGATCGCCTGAGCCCAAAAGTTTAAAACCAGCTTGGGCAACATAGTGAGAACTCATCTCTAAATTAGCTGGGCGTGGTGGCGCATGCCTGTAGTCCTAGCTATTCAGGAGGCTGAGGTAGGAGGATCACCTGAGCCCAGAAGATGGAAGCTACAGTGAGCCATGACTGAGCCACTGCAGTCCAGCCTGGGTGAAAGGGAGAGGCCTTGTCTAAGAAAACAAAACAAAAACAAAAAAACAAACCAAAAAAACGGTCGGGTGTGGTGGCACACGCCTGGAATCCCAGCTACTCAGGAGGCTGAGGCAGGAGAATCGCTTGAACCTGGGAAGCGGAGGTCACAGTGAACCACAATCACAACACTGCATTCCAGTCTGGGCAACAGAGCAAGACCCTGTCTCAAAAACAAAAACAGACAAACAAACAAATAAAACACAAGCAAACAAACAAAAACCCTGACCATCTCACTATTCCTTGAACACACTGTGAAGTTCCCCCATCAGTGGGATATGTAATCCAGCGAAATATGTGTCAGTGGGATATGCACATGAAGGGATTTGCATAGTCAGTGCCCTCTGCCTGGGGTGCCCTCCCCAGCCTCCTCCATCTGGCATCCTCACCATTCAGATCACAACACTCATCACCTCTGCCAGGCAGCCCACCCTAAGTTGCCTGACTAGGTCACGTCTCTTTATGAGCTCCAGACGACGACTCTGTCCACACACACACCCCACAACACCAGAAAAAAATAAAATAAAGAAAACAGGAAAAGACTCAAACGACCTAAAGCAACAGCGGAATGGAGCCACGGGCACAGTGGCCACACCCTGTAATCCCAGACTTTGGGAGGCAAGCACAGCATGATGCTGTGAGTCCAGGAGCTCAGACCCAGCCTGGGCAACCTAGTGGAGACCCCATCTCCATAATTTTGTTTTTGTAAAAAAGAAAAAACCAATTTTTAGAACAATACCACAACCCATTTATATATAAAATCACAAGACAAACATATTTTGAAAGATACATCCACCACGTATCGTAAACACTTCAAGAGTTCTGAAAGACGCACATTAAGTCCGCCATGCACAACTGGAGACGGGCTAAGGAAAAAATTTTTTCAATGTGGAAATACTCGTGGGCAGTCGTGGTAGCTCACGCTGTGATCCCAGTACGCTTGGGCGAGCCGAGGTGGGAGATTAACCTGAGTCAAAGGAGTTCAACCAGCCTGGTTCACATCTGAAACTCGTCTCCTACACTAAAAACTTCAAAAATAATTAGCTGGCCGATGGTGGCCGCACTGTAGTCCCCAGCTAGCCTCACGGAGGCTGAGGCAGCCGAGAAATCACTTCAACCTCGGGAGCCAGAGGTTGCATAAGCCTGACGGTCCGCACCACTC